GGCCCCATCAGCCCAGTGACTGACTGGGAGCAGAAACTGACAAGAGCAGCCTCGTCCTCCGATGAGCCACTGCACCAGGCACACAGGAAGCTGGCGTCATCAGTCAGCACACCGGAGCCAGTGGTGACTCACTGGGCTCCCGACTTTCTGCATGGAGTGGGAGGGAACCGGTGACCCTCCAGCCATCCCTCACTGCCCACACTCTGTGGGATCCTTTCTGCTACTCCCTGGCTGAGGATGGCTCGGCCCCTGGAATGGGGCACTCACCCCTCTCCAGATGCTGGTCCAGGCCCCTGGGGGGAAGCTCTGAGTCTTTCCACCGCGTACTTCCAAGCCATCGGCTGCCCTGGAGAAGCCCCCACAGTAGGAGGGCAGCTCCTCACCCTCCCTTTCCACGGAGCCACACAGCTGGGTCCCTCTCCCGACCTCATGAGGCTGTGGCCATCTGAGCCATCTCCTACTGGACTCTTCTGCCTGCTCAGCATCCTTCCCCATCACCAAGCAGTGCCACGCCTGGACACCAGACAGAAGATGACCCAGGAGAACTGGACCACTGGCCTCCCTTGCTCTCCCCATGCTCCCTTTATTGATAAAATCTGAGCAGCCCCCCACCCCCAATTCCTCCTCTCCCTCCCAGTGCAGTGAGCCAGGGAGTGAAGGCTGAGAGATGAAACACTGCCTCCCACCCCCAGCTCACCTCTCAAAGGGAGGGAACTGCACTTCCGTCTGGGAAGGAAGCGGGTACCATCAGAACGCCTCACTCCCCAATACAGTGGGTGGAGCTGATAAAGAGCAGGGCCCAGACACCAGGGGCCTCCTGACAACCGCAGATTTAATCATTAATGCTGGTGCTCCTTGTGGGTGTTCAAACCTTCCTAGCTTGTTGCCCTAGCCCCTAGAAGCCTGCTTGCTTCATCTGCCTCCAGCCAGGGTTGTGAAGATCAAATGCGATGTTGTGCGTGAAAGTGCTCTGTAAACTGTGAAATGTCTTCCCAGGGTCGAGCGCACAGCAGGTGGCAGAAGCCAGGTCCCCAGAAGGGCCCCAGCTAGGATCTCACCCAAGCCCTGCATTTCCCACTTGGGGCCCTCAGGCTCAGGGCAGGAAGGGCCGCGTAGAGCTCACATGTGCACACTGGTGGTGTTACCCCATTTCACCGGTGAGGGTAGGAGGCCCCAGGACACCGGGAGACTTTCACACGCTCATACTGCAAAGCCTTTCCACACTGGGTCGTCCAGGCACATCTCCTGTCCTGGACGGGTTCCAGGAGTTCTCTGGCAGGGAGAGGCCCCTGGACCAGGGAAGAGGATGAGGGGAAAGAGCGGGGAAGGAAGAAGCAGAAGATAAAAGAAGTGTTTTTGTGGGAAGGGAAGTGATGGAAGGCGGTGGGAGGTATGGAGCGGAGGGAACAGGAAGCCAGGAGCAGACAGTTGGCTGATGTTTCCTGAGCTGCTCCCAGGCAGGGGGTGTGGCTCGTGGAGAGGTGGCCTGAGAGCACCACTCCATCTGCACTGACCTTTATTATCCAGCAGTCCCTCCAAAGAACGAGTGGGAGTCCCTGGAAGAGAGACCCAGCTCTGAGGCCCCCAGCAACTGAGGCCCAGAAAATTCTGATGAGTGCCTGGCGGAGGTGGGTACAGACCCGGGTGCAGAGAGACAACGGGGAGAGGAGGCTCAGGGCTTGTTCGCTGAGCTCAAATGCTGTGATGTCATTTTTTTTTTGTAGTTGCAAATGTGGTTTTCAGGTGTCCTTAGCGTGGGAGGTTTACCACAGGGATGTGAGGCGGGCCTGTCTGCGGTGGGGTGCTGATGCAGGCAGGGAGTCTCTGCTGGCATCGACCCATTAAACAGAGGGCTTCTGTGAGCTCCAGGCAGAGCGGAGGGCAGCATCCAGGGCCCCCGGAGCAGCGTGGGCTCTCAGCCCTCAGCCCCCAGCCCTGACCTTCTTCAACCTCTTGAATCATTTCTCTTCTCTCACCTTCCAGCCCAGCAGGGGGGTGGCAGACCCTTCCTGCAGATCACATCCAGCCCGTTGCCCATATTTTTTACAGCCAGTGAGCCAAGCAAGAATGATGTCTACATTTCTAAATGGTCAGCAAAAAATTTAAAACACTCATTTCATGACACATGAAATCTGTATGACATTCAAATCCCAGTGTCCATAAATACGGTTTATGAGAACACAGCCGAGCCCGTGTTTCCGTGTCATCTGCGGTTGCTTCTACGCTACAATAGCAGGATTCAGCAGCTGCGAGAGTGTGTAGCTGGCAAAGCCTAAAATATTGACAATCTGGCCCTTTACGGAAACTTCGCCAACCCTTGTTCCGTTCTCGTGCAATACATGCACGTTCTCCACTCATTTCGACGTGCACCTGGTCTTTCATTAAGCAGGACTCTTGTGACCTCCCATGGGCAAACGTCTGAGTCCCCAGGTGTGTCTAGATCTAGGGGAGGGTATGTGTCCCAATGTCCGTTTGTCTTTCTGCTGTTGTATGTTTTGCCCCAGCTCTCTGGCAGGTGTCATGGGAAGCCTATATGCCTCCCCAGCTATGTGTCACTCCTACTTTATGTGTCACTGCGGGGGTGGCTGTCACCATGTGCCTCTGACGGCATCCAGGGCTCAGTACAAACATGTCGCAGCTGATGGTGCCAGCCTGCGTGTTGCCAGGCAGCTGGACCACTAGGCCCAGTCATTCAGACTCTGGACTGATTCCTCTGATCCAAAGTGGCCGAGCCTTCCTAGGCCTGTAGCTCTCCCAGTGTAGAAGGCCCTCCATGCAGCCCCTGCCTGGGGTACGGGACCTCTGCTCACATGCCTCCGTGACAAGAAATCCATGGTCACCCAGGCACTGGCCCCATGCTGGGTGGCCGCAGGGAAGCAAGGCCTTCAGGCACTGAGAGGAGCTCATGCTCCACACCTGGCACACCTGAGTTCTGCTCTCTAGCAGACAGCACGAGGTGTCAGCTACTTAACCAGTGCCAGCCCTAGGTCAATGAAATCTTCCTCACTGGGAGGCCGGAGACTGGGACACTCAACCTGAGGCCACGTTCCCCAGGAAGAAAGCCACCTTGTGGCCTTAGCTCCTGCCTATCCTAGTCTTTTAGCTGCATATACTGATTTGTAAACACCCATTTTGTGTGTTTGTTTATTCAACTCAAATTGAAGGAGTGTCCCTAAGTAGAAGCATGGCAGAGAGGGTGGCCACATGCGAAAGGATGGCTTCTGAAGCTTTCTCCAAATCAACTGCTGCCAGCCTGAACCTTAGACAGAACAGGACCTTCACGGAGCCTTTAGCCCAATTAATCCTTAGAATTCAGGAAAAGGTCCTTTGAGACGTTCTCCACAGACACCTGCCCTCACAGGACACGGGGGCAAACAGACTCCGGGTCTTGTCCCAGACACAGACCCATGGATGAACTGCCCTTGGCGGGGGAGTGAAGGGACTGGCCAGCTCTCTGGTCACCCTGCACACACTTGTTGACGGATTGGTTGGAAGATCCAGCCCAGGGCCTGTCCAGTGTGTTCTGTCTAATTTGTACGTTCTCATTTCGGCCTGCGTCCAGTCTGGCGCCTCTGCTTGCCCTCCCCAAGGTCAGTGGGGAACAGGAGCCCCAGATTCAGCTTGGAACTGTGGACTCTGCCCACTCAACCCCACCTGTACCCAGCAGCAAACTCGGATTGAGGCATCCTGGAAAAATCTGGATGCTGCTGCTACCCACCCCAGTCCGCAAGTCTGAAGCATAGTTTTCCACCCTCTTCTGAATCCTACAGCCACTCCGAAGACTCTAGCCTGACTTCCAGGATGTCTGTCTGCCTCTGCCGGACAGCAGTGCCAAGGTGAGTTGCCCTCCACCGACTGTGTGTAGCCCCCACCCCATGCCCAGCTGCCCACCTCTCCTGCCACACACACAGGGCTGCTCACCAGAAAAGCCAGATGTTTGTCTGTGTTTTGGGGGGTAGGCAGTTGGAGGGGGTGGCTTCGTGGACACTGTGAGGCTGGGGAAGGTAAAGAAGGGGGAACTGACGCACTTACGCTAAAAGCACAGAAATGGTCTGGAGAATGATCAGGGATTTGCCACCTCCCCCCGCGTTCACGAAGCGGGCCTGAGCTCCGACCAAGGATGAGGCTCCACTCCCCAGCTTCACCAAGGCCGGGCTCCCTCCTGAACGCCCAGCTCTATCCACTGGCGCCCTGGCCCCTTCTGACTCCCCAACCCGCCAAGGTCCCACCAGGATGTGGCCCCCTTCCGCACCTGCCGCAGAAACCTGTGCCTTTAAGGCAGCCAGCAGGGTCTCTGGTGCGTGTGTGGGGGTGGGGGTGGGGGGTACTCCCACAGGCCCCCAGAGAACGTTTCCTCGCGGGACCACCAGAGCTATTCCGACCCCAGCCCCTCCACGTCGCGGGAAACCGAGAGAAGAGGTTCCTTGGAACGAACCCGAATGTGTCTCCATAGGGGGGCGTTCTATGCTGCCCCCACACCACCCCCTACTGAGCACATCGCTTGCTCACCCTGCAAACCCCCTGAGGACTGCGGTGTCCAGCCCCCGGGGACCCTGGAGTGTTCCTTCCCAATTCGCGTAGGTGCGTCGGTCTGCCCTGGGAGTAGGGAGACAGGTCCCTCCGGGTCGCTAAGGGTCTCTCCGCCGCAGCGCCTTCCCAGCCCCGGTCCTCCCCTCTGGCACCGGAAGGGGCGCGAGGTAGCTAGGCCGACCCCACCCCCTGGGGGCTGCAGGGATCGGGCGCCTCCGACATCTGCGGGGGAGGGATGTCAGCGTGTCGCGCAGGAAGGGAGCCGCGGCGAAGGGGGTTTCATTTGGGATTCGGAGGGCTGGCCCCGCGCGGCCCTGGCCCCCTGGCCCGCTCTCCGTCGGTGGATGGCGCGGCGTGCGGAGACCGCCGAGCTGGAGGAGGGGGTCCGCAGTCGCCAAGCGGCGAAGGTTCTGGAGTCTGGAGACAGGGGACCGAGCGTGGAGGGACAGGGGCGGCGGGGCGGCCCTTACCTGCTCCCGGCGGGGCCTCGTCGCGGGGCTGCAGGCTGCGGG